TTGTGTTAAACCTCAACCATTTATAATAAAAAGATAAATTATCAAAATTTTGTATAAATAATATGAGTAAAAATTGTGTATACATACATTGATGATAACTCTTTACACGATTTTACCATTCTTTACCTCTTCCTCTTATTGCATATTTTATCTTTTTACCTTATTGTATGTTTAAAATGAAATTTAACATTAGGTTTTTTTTATAAGGATTACCAAAACATTACAGGTGGAATGCTAACAACTCCAATAGAATTATTCAATCAGTCAAGGATCTAAAGTTTTAAATTAAAAATCTTATATTTAAATTTTAAATCGGATAATGATAAATTTAAGAAGATATGAGGTTTTTTTTTTTTATAAAACCTGCCATCAAATATTATAAAAAAATGCTAACATACACTCTTAATATTATATTACTAATCATGTTTTAAGTCAAAATTATTATCTTCAAAGAAAATCAACCTTTCCAATAAAATAGATAAACGAATGATTCTTAAAATAATCTTGAAAATCTTAAAATTCCACTGCTATACTTATGAAGAATAAAAGAAAAACTAACCCATTGAATTAAATGGTTGTGAAACTGAAACGTGATGATGAGGAATTAAGGATGATAAATAAGAGACGTTGAGCCATTGCATCCATTGCATTAACAATGCATATATTCATTTTGCATTGTTGCATCATGTACGACGTAAACAAAACCGTAACCTCCGAATTAACGCCCGCAGTAGCCGTTGATGATAATGATTAGTGGGGACTGGGGAGATTAAGTGCCTGTTTGGTGTGGATTGTGGGAAGAGCTTTTTGGCTCTAAAAGCACAAGCCACACCAAACGGGGTAGCTTCCTAATGTGGCTGCAGCTTTTGAGAAGCTCAGCTTCTCACTTTTTTTTTGCAAAGGTCGGAAGCTCAAAATTCTTACTTCCGCAGTAGCTTACGGCTTTTGAATTAGTGAAATTGACATGATATCCCCATTTTATCCTCGCACTTCCTTTTATTTACAAAAAAACCACTATATAATGTTTCAAAACACCACATTTCTACTCCATTCTTCACCGTTCTTCACTATCTTCTTCCTCATCCAATTCAATCAGAGAAACAAACAAAAATTCTTCCTCAAACAGAAAATTCTTCCTCATCTAGTCAGAGAAACAAACAGAAAATCTTTACCGAAAATCCCTCATCTACGAACCCAGGAGTTGAATTCGCGGCGAATCCCGCGCTTGGGTTTCGAGATGAACCCAGTGCCTGGGTTCGCGACGAACCCCGCGCCTGGGTTCCGAGACGAACCCAGGGGCTGGGGTCGCCAAGAACCCAGCGCCCGGGTTCGTCGATGAACCCAGGAGCTAGGTTTGCGAGGAACCCAGGCGCTGGGTTCGC